ATGAAAGGAATAACTGAAGATTTGCATGCAGAAAACTGTCACCAACACTTTTTTCAATAGATATGCCATAACTTATTTTAGATATATTTCAGTCTACAGATATTTATTTGCTGTATACTTGTAAACACAGGACATATGTTTGTATAATCTGGGATTTTCCATATATTGACAACTGAAGAACTGGAGGTAGCTAGAAAACCTGGTGATTGGCATGCTGAGTTAAACTTGAGAAGCCCAGGCCACTGCAGGGAGGTAGCCCTGAGGTTTTCTTTGGATGGGGATGCCCCAAGCACCAAGCTGTGTTCTGTAAAGCATACTCAGTCTGCTTTTTGAAGTAGAGCAAGGGCCTCGTGAAGAATCTGGCTCGCTACAAAGTAGACGTGGAAGTGACTCAACAACTGGACACCACAGTTAGCGTGTCTAGATCGGTCTTGTTTGAATAGAGCATCAAGTCCCTCTCCTCCGTGTGTTTCCACACAGTCACCCTTGACGTCCCTGGTAACTTTATACATCACGTCTAGTGTCTTCTACCTTTCAAGGAGACCCATCCCAACACAGGATTGCTCAAAGAACACTGAGCAAGGAGAGGGCCAGGGTCCTGATTTGGTCCCTGGGTTGAACCTGTGCTCTGGGGGGATGGCAGTTACAGGGCAAGCAGAACAGAAAACCCGAAATCTCCAACAGGAAAGACCCCACCTGGGACCCTTGGTGCTTCCTAGATGCTGAATGCTGAGTTCAAGTAACCTCCTTCATTCAGATGCGAATGACAGCTGTCTACAGTGGGATGAGAGCCAGGGCCACAGCACCCCTATGTAGGATGTGTAAAGTGCTTGTCTTCAGAGCTCAAAGGGGAGAAGGGTGAGAAGAGAACTTTTCACAATTTACACTTTTCATCTTCTTTCTGCACTCAGTTGGAATCCTTTGATTAGATTAGTGTGTTTTTCTGGATTTCAGGAGAAGAACACAAACCCTGAGAATGACTTGGCAAAACTAATATTAGCCAAACACCCAGAAGGTACCAGGAATCATCTCAGGAGTGAGGTCATAAACCTACAAACAGCAGGGACTTCTCAAATCAAAAGGGAAGGGAGCCTTACAAAGGAGGCACTCAACTTTCAGGACAAAAAAAAAAAAAATGTTTGATCAAAATGCTTTGTTCACACCTTTTAGATCAATAGCCTAAGCTCTAACATCTCAGAGCGTCTAATTTACTAAAGATCTCTACCTCCCCCTCATTGGACAAGCATCTACTCTAGCAGATTGAGGGTTCTGGACTGCCCCTGTTCATGGCAATGACAATATGGAAAGACACCCTCTCCAAGCACTGGTTTCGTGACATGTTTCCAAATTGAGAAGGGAACACAGGGGATTCCCAGCAGAGCATTTGGTGCGTCCTGTCCCGCAGAACTTGCCTGCTTTGTGTGTATTTGGAGTGTGCATTTGCTCAGTGGCTGCAGCCCATTTATTAATGTGGCCATGAAATGATCCTTGGAAGCTCCGAGCCACAGTTGTGGACGACCAACCAAGGAGCACAGCGGGATGCAGAGCTGCAGGCCCTCTACCGAGAACACTCGTGTGCGCCACGACATTTCAGCAGGCACAGAGTGGCTGACATTAGCTGTGGCAGCAGCCTTTGATTGAGCCATGTGACACGGGCCAAACGGGCTTTTCTGGACCCCAGGCATTTGATTCCTGTAAACAACAAGGATTTAAACAAAAACTGTTGAAATACACCAAAGGGCCTCTCCAGAGAAAGTTCTTGGAATGGAGTTGAAAATAACTTCCCAGACATGGTAGAAATGGACTGACCGCCCGATTTCCTTGTTGACAGAAGAAACTAGAGAGAGCAAAGAGGAGGACAGTGATGCTGTCACTGTCCCAAGACAGGGGAGGAGAGGGCTGACAGGAAGTGTCCTTCTCATCCTGCCATTAAATATAAAATCATGTCCCGCGAGCTTCCCCTCTGGGTGACCTGGCTTCACCTCCACCATGTGCAGCCACACTGGCCTCTGGTCTTGTCCTGCCACGTGCTGCCATCTCCCCCTGCAGGATGCCAAGACTGGGGGTCCTGTTTGCAGCACTCAGTAACTGACTGCTTTTTATCAGCTCCCTGGTCTCCCTTCAGATGCCACCGCCATGGGGGTCAAGCCAGAGCCACTCCTCACAGCACCCCCTACTATACAGAACCTAACTGCTCATTCTGCCATCCTCCTGTACCTGGTGCTCTCCCATTCCACTATAGGCCTTGGGAGAAGGCCCTACCTCACTCACACGCCTTCTTCATGGCCACAATGGTGTCTGTCACTCAGTAGGCACTTAATAACTCCCTCCTGCTTCCTGGCTCTAAAGGGGCGACCGTCCGCTGGGCAGGGTGATTAGGACAGCCCTCTCAGGAGGCCTTGGGAGAGGCCAGTCTTCTGCATCTCTCCACCCTCAGCAGAAAAAGCCTCTGTGAACCTCAGGTGCCTGGAGCCTTTGTCCTGTCATTGCCCGATTCTCTGACAATACCAAGCTGCCAATTACACGAGGTGCAGAACACAGGTCCCAAGCAAGGCAACACTGAGCACCAGAAGCCTGGGGTCTAAGAATAATGAGATCCTGGACCTGAAGTGTCACTGTGTTCTCCTCTGTGAAACGAGGAAGCACAGTTAATTGGAAGACTCTAGGCTCCAGTGTCAGCACAACACTTGCAAACTCTGAGGTTACTGAGCAGAGAGGGATGTGGGTGTTGATGAGGCTCCATGGAGATCTGTCCTGAGGTCTAGGGCAGGAAGGTCTATGGGAGTGAAATTCAGAGAGTGCCATCAGACAGCAATGAAGTTACACCCAACTCCACCTTCTTTAAGCACCACAGCCTGGTGTGACAGCACAAAGACCACAGTCGTGTGCCCACCAGGACAGCAAGAGAGCAGCAGCACCTCAGCAACCCAGCCAAGGGGATGACAGCACTTTCACAAACATGTGACGGAGGGCCGGGCTCAACTCTTGCACTTATTTCATGGTGCAAAATGACCTTGTTCAAAACTGAGCTTCGAGCCAAGCTCAGGGAGGATAAGCTGGACAGAGAAAAGCCTTGTGCATACACTAGGCCTGGGAGCTTGGGGTGGGCTGGGCTGTGCCCTGGGTAGGGGGACTGCATGGCTGGACAAATCTGCAGCCAGGAGCCATGCATTCTTGGGGCTGGCCCTTGGGGAAGGCAAGGGCAGAGCCACATATTTCTCCATCTCTTGACAAAGACAAGGGAGAAGAAACAGCCAGGTGGCAAGCATCTGCTCCCTGCGTAAGGCATGACGGTAGGGAAAGGAAGAGCTGGCCATTATCATCCCAGTTCCTGTTCAGATAAGTGAACCTCGGGAAATGCTTGGCAACACCTTGGGGCAGAGGTGGCCACTGGATTAACAAAGTGAGCAGGACTCAAAGGTCACATTCCAGTTTCTGGAGCTCATAGACAATCACACATGAGCAGACAATCCTTTTGTCAAATGTTTATGTAACGCAAAATAGAATGAGGAAACAAAAGTTGTTTTCAATTTAAAACCCATGATGCATACATGAGAAGTGTACACAGTGAAGGTGACAGAGGTGTTGACTATTGCTGTTGACAGAAACTCTCTGTGCACACTATTACTTTGTTGAGTGACTCTGTGTGTGTAAATTTACCCCCAGTGATTAGAAACCAATTTGGATGGAAGCTTTTCTTGAGCCACAAGTTTAACAGATTCCTGTTATTCTGTTTGTCCCTGAGTACAAAATAATTTGCAGAAAAACTAAACCTGCATGTTGATAATATGAGAGAGGAAAGGCCAACCCAAGTAGGTGGGAGAAACCACAAGAGCATAGAG